TGGGCATTTGAATTGTACATGCCTATCAACTACAGGGAATGCAGGCCCGATCTCGTTTAACCACTGCACATCACACAGGATTCTGGGTTTTCGATACTGCCTGACGTTGGGTTATAGGTTCATTAGCATCAATCAGGTGGGGACCAACCCATGGTAAAAACAAAAAGAGATGAAAACAAAGAAAAAGAAAAAAAAACAACTCACAAGCAATAACTTTTTGCGAATATATATCCGTCTCGGTCTCCCCCTCGCCGTCGGTCTCTTGTTTTGTCGAATCACCAGATCCATTGGCCTGTGCCTTCGTACCTTCCGATGACGCCAACCTAGTACTTTTCTGGGAAGCAGGAGGCGTTGGGGAAATGTCAACGGTTATCGTGCCCACTTGACGTAAGGATGATGCCTGGTCATCATCCTGTATTTGATCATACATGGGACGAGGAACAGAGGAGTAGGCGCTGGCAGAGCTGGGGGAAACACCACCTCGTTTTTTCAGAGCACCATTGACGCGCGCAACGTTCGTGTCCGCAACTTTGAGTTGTTCTTGGTCCACAGTAAATTGAATTGGAGCAGAGGCAGCCATTGTACGGAGATAATACATTCCGGTCTTCAAGCCGAGTTTCCAACCAGTGAAATGCATGCTGGTAATTTTGCCCATGGTGGGCTCCTTAAGATGGATATTTAGCGACTGGGATTGGTCGATAAATGCACCACGATCAGCAGCCATCTGGACAATAGTTCGCTGAGATATTTCCCAGACGGTCTTATAAAGTGCTTTGATATCCTGGGGAATGTTGGGAATATTTTGAATTGAGCCACCCTCTGCAATAATACGATTTTTCATGTTGTCGGACCAGAGACCCATGTCCACAAGGTCTTTCAGGAGCCATGGATTGACAATTTGGAATTCACCAGCAAGAACACGGCGAGAGTAGATATTAGAGGTATAAGGCTCAAAGCATTCATTGAACCCAAGAATCTGGGCTGGTGCTGGCAGTAGGCATGGGCGCAACAAGTAAACTATTACGCACTCCGTGCTTTGCAATATCTTGTTTCAATGAATCCCAATCCCAAAGGTCGGTTGGAGTAACATTCCACATATCATACTGAAGAATACCTTGAGAGACCGGGGAGCCTTCATATGTAGAATATGGACCATCAACCTTAGCTAACTCGCAGGATGCAGTCAATCCTGCGTGGTAAATTGTTTCAAAAATTTGAATATTCAACTGTTTTGCTTCAGGGGAATCAAATGGAAGTCGCAGAGCAAGGAAAGCATCCGCAAGACCCTGTACACCACAAGCAATGGGACGATGGCGGAAGTTGCTTCGTTTCGCTTCCTCAACTGGATAGTAATTCCGATCAATGATTTTGTTAAGATTGCGAACAACAACCTGAGTTACTTCATGGAGTTTGCCGAAGTCATACTCTCCCCGGATAGGATCAACAAAAGTGGGCAACGCAATAGATGCCAAGTTGCAAACCGCAACTTCATCTGGTGAGCAATATTCGATGATTTCAGTACATAGATTAGAGCTTCGAATTGTGCCCAGGTTCTTTTGGTTGCTCTTTCTGTTGCAAGAGTCCTTGTAAAGCATAAAGGGGTTTCCTGTCTCTGTTTGAGCTTCAAGAATGGCGTACCAGAGTTTCTGGGCTTTTACAGTCTTCTTGCCTCTGCCTTCCTTTTCGTACCTATATACCAGGAGTCAGGTCAGTTACTTTTGTATGGTGACTTGGTTCTGGTTGTACTGAAACATACTTTTCGTAAAGTGCCTCAAACTCGTCGCCATAAACATCAGCTAGCCCTGGTGCTTCATTGGGGCAAAACAGAGTCCATTCGCCGTTTTTCTCAACACGCTTCATAAACAAATCAGGCGTCCAGAGAGCAAGGAAGAGATCGCGAGCCCGGACTTCTTCCTTACCA